TGTTGCCATCGATTGAGCGATAGACAAAACGTTGACAAAGTTAGCCTGGCTAACACAAACACAACATCGGCATCGGCATCGGCATCGTTTGTCATCGATTGCGAGTGTCACCGGGGCGTCAATCATTTCAATTAAATGTGCAATCAAATCGATGAGCGGCGCGTCGTCATGTCAATATCCATCAGAGTTGTCGCCCGAAAAAACCGCAGCGTTAATTTGCCTGTCTTTCCATGGGGTTTGGGTTTTGTATTATGCGTGGGCTCGAGAACTATGATTATCAATCGATCAGGCCATCAATCAAATCGATCGCTTTCACTTTCCGCTTGTATGTAAATTTCCCTTCCTCTCTCTCAGTCGTTGTCTTTTATGGCTTATTAATGATCTCGACTCGAATGTGCGATCATTAGAGACAGATACGAGCTGCGATTGCCACAAAACAGATCGCTTACAACGAAGCTTGGTGGGGCTCAGGTGACTGGTTCTTGATCGGACCGGCTCCAACTCCAACTCCATCTCCATCTGTATCTGTATCTCCATATGTATCCGTATCTGTATCTGTTTGTGGGCTCCCCTGTGACGCTTTGTGTGGCCCGTTAGTTTGAGATCTTTATATGTCAATTTCGGTGCAAGTTGGCAATTTTGTGGCCCGTGAGTTACGAGTGTCGTTCCGAAATACTAAAAAAAGAAAAATCCTTCAAGAACCAAGTTAATTGCAAGCACTCTCATTCATTGCCATTGCGCCAATAAAGGTAAAAGACTCACCTGGCCCGTTGGCCATAAGATTCCTTTTGTGCCTGCCTTAGCTTCTGCTTCTTTTGGCATTTGCAACTCATGTTAAGCATAAATAAAACAAATGCGTTTATTTTAAACATATGCCCCAGTGGCGGCTCCAGCTTCAGCTTCATCTTCATCTTTAGCTCTTTTTTTCTGGTCCAGACTCTCCTCTCGCAGTTAGCAGTTGGCATCGCCAAGTTGGGTCATTCCCGGCCTGCTGCTGCTGATGATGAAGACATCTTCCCGTTTTCTGTTTTTGTTTTTCTCCGCCGTCTGTTCTTGGGGCCTTGACTCTTGCATGTTGTTCTTTTTTATTTTGGATGATGATGAACTGGAATTTATGTGAATGTGCGTCTTTGTTTTTGTTGTTACTTACACTCTCTCTGCAGGCTTTGTGGAGTACCAGAAACAAGGCCACGGTGTTGGCTTCTGTTTTTGCCGGATTTGTTTAGCAGTAATTGGATTTGGATACTTTGATTTAACACACATTTTAATAATAGAGTTAGCTTTGATTTAACTTCAAATTTAATTAGTAACTTTAAACGGAACAAGAAGAAGAACAAAAATAATTGTGTTTGCTAAGGTGCTTAAGTACACTGGTTGAGAAGCGCAGAGGAGGGCACTTTTTTGGAGAGAGTGAAAGAGACGAAAGTGTCATTCTTATGGGAGAGTAACAGAGAGGCAAACACAATTTTATTTTTTGAGAAGCGTAGGGAAGGTCTCATTGTTTATTTTTTGGAAGAATGAGAATTTGAGTTAGTAAATAAATATTATATATCCGTAAAATTTATAAGAAATATAACATAATGACTCTTGGTTGTTGTTCCTTTTTTTTTTGATGATGATGAACTGGAATTTATGTGAATGTGCGTCTTTGTTTTTGCAGGCTTGGTGGAGTACCAAAAACAAGGCCACGGAGTTGGCTTCTGTTTTTGAGGGATTTAGTTAGCAGTAATTGGAATTGTATACATACAGATTTAACACAAATTTTATATTAGCCAAAGGTTGGATTTAAATTCAAATTTAATAAGACACTTTAAAATTAACAAGAAGAAGAACAATAAAAATTGTGTTTGCTAAGGTGCTTAAGTACACTGTTTGAGAAGCGCAGAGGAGGGCACTTTATTGAGAGAGTGAAAGGGAGGAAAGTATTATTTTTGAGAAAGAGCAAACGAGAGGCAAAAACAATTTGGTTTTTTGAGAAGCGCAGAGAAGGTGTCTTTTGTATATTTTGGCAGATTTATTTAGGGAATTTAATAAATAATTTAATTGGTTTGCAAGTAAGTAAAAATTGAAGTCTCGAGGTTTTTTAAACTAATAAAGTACTGTGTATAATTTTAGTATAGTTTGTAAAACAAAGGTTATAAATCTGTTATATGTTATTATATTATTAATTAATTATTAATTATTGAAAATATCAATTTCAAACCTAAAACCTATTCAATTAAATTAAATAAATTGCCTTTAATTTTTTCAATCTTTAGCCCATTCCACCTCAAAGACCTAAATACCTAACTCCACCACCACCAATTCCAACATTGATTGAGTTAATATAATTTGTATTAAAGCCAATTTAAACCAAGAACTCCCTTAGCTCCCTTGCCCTTCCCAAAAATCCTTCCCTTTTTCTTTGACAAAAGAAAAACTTGGAAAACTTTTATTGTGTCAAATTTGCGCAGCAAAGCAATGAAAAATTTAACACGCTATAAATCACAATTTTTCCACCAAGAAGTGAGAGAGGAGGAAAAGGCAATTGTTGCATTGTAAGGCGTAAGGCACACACAAAACAAAAAAAAAAAGGAAAAGGAAACCAGGATAACTCTGGCAACCCCTTGGCAATGTCCTTGCTACGCCTTGGCATGCAGCTTGAGCTTGAGCTTATCTCCGCCCTGCCAACATGCGTTTTTATACAGTGGGTGGGATGGGGTGGTGTTGGTGATTTTTCCCGGAGGTCACCATGACTTGGATTTTCCCAGTCGTCAACGTCTCCCGGCTGTCTGACAGGTTCAAGGTCTGGCCCAGCTACCATTCCTGCTCCTCCTTCTCCCTTCTTTAGAGTTTCAGTTTGTTTTTTTATTGTCGGCTGCGTGTGAAATTTAAAACCGTGATAACACCTTACAACAGCCACGCCCACTTGTCAGACCCGCAGCCCTGCCGCCCTTTCGAGACTTTTTGGATTTCTCTGGTTTAATTTCGCGCCCGTCGGCAGCTTTGGCATTTTGTTGACAAAATTGATTTGTTCAATTTTTCCAACGATTTAACTTAGGGCATGACTTGGTCGCGTTGCCATTAGTGCCGCTACATTTGTTTTGAAGGTTGTTTTTTTTTAACCTCCCTCCGACCCACCCAACGCCCACACAGCCCCCCTTGGTAATGGCTCTGTAGTTCCCGGGAATTTTCGCACGTTTCGGGCAGGCGGAAAAGTTTCCTTTCCCTCTGACGTCGTGGAATTTAATCAATTTCCGATATTTTATTGATTCACGTTAAAAGTAAATTAAATTTTAAATTGTCCAAAGTCGCTTTTTGTGCAAACTGTTCTAATGTATATCTATATCTTTTCTTTCTCTTTCCAGGTCGAAGTAAGTACGGGGAAAAAGGTTAAGAACTTGGATTCAGTCACTGGAAAAATCACAGGATCGATATAATGGCATTTTCATGACATGGAAGGACATGGAAGGAAGAGACTTGAAGTGGAAGAAAGAAGGCTTTGTTATCGATTATAAATAAAGGGTTTTTTTATATATATATATAACCTTGAAGGGTATTATAATTCCATTTAGAAGCTTCCAAAACAGTGAACAGAGTTTTTTAAAGTTTGGTTTTACCTAAAAATTCTCAAATAAAATTATATATAAATATCGGCTCAAAAAATGGTATTATAGTTTCAGTTAGAAGCTTCCAAAACAGCGAAGAAGTCATTTCCGACTCTATAAATCATATATATTCTTGATCAGCATCAACAGCCGAGTCGTTCTAGCTATATTTGGCAACAATTTAAGTTTTTCAAAATTTTCAAAAGTTCATAAAAAATTTCAATTTTTACATTTTAAATGGAGTATTTATAAAACTAATAAAAACTAGCACAGGACTTTTTTCCAAATTGAAATTAATGATTTATTGGCTTAGTTATAAGTTTTTTAAACTTTGATTTTTCTTAAAAATTGTCATATAACAGCTTCGACTTTATTTATTTTAAAAGGACCTAGATATTTAACATTAAACTTCTATTACCAACTAAAATCTATTTTAAAGAGTCAGCTTAATATATTCCTCATCCTGGCATTCAAGTATTTTCCGGCTGGACACTTTTCTTAAAAGAATTTCTTCAACAATTTCTCTAAGCAATTTCCACAAGACACTTGCCCCCAAAATGCCTTATGATAGATGTAGCTCTTAAATTACAAAATACTTGCCACATATTTTCAGTTTAGTGTTTTTAGGAAAACATCTTGCGGTTGGGTCAGTCGTCGAAAGTCTCCTTCCTTCTTTTGCTGACCAAAATATTCCCATTAGTGAAAACCTCATAATTGCTTCATCTCTAGCATTTTTCATTTTCTCTCTTGGCTCTAGGACTTTGTTAAACTATTTCCGGAAAACGAGCTTATAACTTTTGAATACTGTCTCTGCAACAGCCCTTTTCTTCGAATAGAATTTTATTTGCTCGAAAGGACCCACATCAAGTGAAGCGATTCTCTGCGCCTGTCCCGCTGTCCGCCCCAAAATGTTGTTAATTAAATCCAAGACAACTCAAGTCGTTGCTTCCTTTTGGTGTTTTTTAGGGGAGGTTTTCCTCGCAGGACATGGCCGGGAAAATTAGCCACAGTCAAAAGTCATTGCGTTGATTACATTTTGGGGAAAATGACGCGAGCAAATTTTCCAACCAAAAAACTTTAATTGTTTTAGCTGGTAAGGAAGTCAGCAGAAAGAGAGGGAGGGAGGGAGGAGGAGGAGCATTTCCTTCTGGGGGTTGACTGGACGCATTTAAATGTGAATTAATTGCCGGGCATCGTAGCTGCATATATGAGGCACAGGATTTATGTCCGCCCAATGAGTTGGCAGTCAGGTTGAGGCACAGCCACAGGTCCAGCTGCAGATTCAGGTCCAGGTTCAGTTTCAGTGTGAGTCTCCCCGTCCAGTTCCCAGTCATGTTGGTGCCCATTAAGCGCTCCCTGGAATTTTTATGACCTCCTCATCCTTATTGTGTTTTTCTCACTTCCACGCTCCAGGTCCGCGAACGCGAAAGCCCAAAAAGCCAGCCACATCCAGTGCGGCGGCGGGTGGCGGTGCTGCCGGAGGCGGTGGTGTGGGCGGTGAAAAGGGCGAGGTCACGGACGGTGGCACACCGGAGGACAAGCGGCCGCGAACGGCCTTCAGTGGCACACAGTTGGCGAGACTGAAGGTGAGTTCGATAAGAATTAAATTCCTTTTGGATTTACTTATTATTTGGATATAATTATTATTAAATTAAATCCCCTTTGGATTTACTTAATGAAATCTCAATCAATGTATATATCCATTTGGGAATTAAGTTAGAAAAAATATATTTTAGGGTAAAAGTTTCATATGACTCTTGTAAAACCTTAATTTTGACGATTTCTACCTATTATTTATTTATTTACTACTTATTTAACATTAAATTCCAAGTATTTCTTACGACTTTTCTTTACATTTTTAAGCTTTACATACATTTAAAGCAAGAAAAACCCCGATATAATAAATATCGAAAAATATCGTCATCTAAAATATCGTTTACTTTAATTTTGAGAAATTTTAGATGTAATTAAATATCCAATGTAACGTTGAAGTAACTTTCGCTATTATTAAAATAACCATTTTATAAAATATAGATTTGCTATAATAAACAGAATGTATTTGCGTTCATCGCACTTAAATTGTCATGTTGAAATATAGTTGTATAACGATAATATCGTAGACTTTGATATATCGGTAGCTTAACTATCGAAAAAGATACAATTTAATGATAAAATCTAATTATAACTTAAAAAAGAGAAAATACTTCAATTGTGTGCCTATGTTTTTGTTCTTTGTTTGTTGTTCCGATATATTAAACAGTATATGCTTTTAAAGCACTAAAAATATCCATTAAAGAGGAACGATTTATCGATTTAAGTTAAGATAAATTGATATTTTCGACTCTCACATTATACTTGAAAGATGCAAGTATCTTAGGAATGCTAGGAATAACTTCTCTCTTAAGTAAACTACTTTAATTACTTGAAATTTTAAGCACTTATCAAGTTCTTTCTGTAAACTTTAATAATTAAATTTTAGAGATACATTCTACCTATAGAAGGTACCATATTCTTTCCCTTAACTAATAAAATGTATGGACCAAATTTTTCTCCGCACTTTCAGCACGAATTCAATGAGAATCGCTATCTGACAGAGAAAAGGCGCCAGCAGCTGAGCGGTGAACTGGGCCTGAACGAGGCCCAAATCAAGATCTGGTTCCAGAACAAGCGGGCCAAGCTGAAAAAGTCGAGCGGAACAAAGAATCCGCTGGCTCTCCAGCTGATGGCCCAGGGATTGTACAATCATTCGACGGTGCCGCTGACCCGCGAGGAGGAGGAGATGCAGGAGCTCCAGGAGGCGGCCAGTGCGGCGGCGGCTGCCACGAAGGAGGCCTGCTAGGAGATCGAGCAATATCTACGATTTAGTATTTATATGGAGAGTGCATATAGCGTGTAAGGTGTCTTAGGACTAACTAAACGATTAAGTTGTACCATATTCTAGTCCAGAGCACACGCAACACGAATGAAATCTTCAAGAAGAAATCTTCAGAGAGAAAAAGATACAAAAGAAACTGAAGGTTGCGTGTGTTTCTTCGTTTTTTGTATAAATAGATTCATAAATTCACAACTAAATAATTTAATAAACATTTAAATTATACATGCCCATCGTTGTCGTCGTTAACACAAAAAGAATTTTAGCATAATTTTTATTTGATTGCCATAGCTGTATCTTAGTATCTTTGTATCTGTGGGTGGTCCCATTTTGTGGATTTATCTTGATATGGTTATAGTTTTTACCGTGGGCGTCGGCATTAATTACTCAATTAACAAATGCGCCAGATCAAACGATTTTTTATCTGGAGACAATTGCGGGGAATTACAATTCGAATTAAATTCATTATGCAAATTGAGTTTTTTTTTTTGAAAACTCGCTATCTGTGAGCATAATCACACGCCTAATAAACGGCGTCTGAGTCTGACTTTTACTAACATTATATTATTAAATTAAATTCCTCCTCCTCCCTTGTTGCTTTTTGTTTTTTCTCTTTCGCGTTCTCCCTCCATCTAATTTAGCCATTAAATTTGCATATAGTCGTCAAATCCATGGTGTGTTTGAGTGAGTGTGTGTGTGTGTTTGAGTGAGTGTGTGTGTGTGTGTGTGTGTGTGTGTTTGCAGGTGTGCGAGTGTGCCAGCGGCACAAATTGACACCTTGACGGCCCGGCGACGGCGTCAAACGCGGCAGCAGACGCCGCTTTTGCAGAGCTTTTTTTTCAAGCTGAAGTGCAGCGTCAACATTGGCGAGCGTAGGTGTTAAATGTGTCTGTCATTGCAGGCGGCAATGGGTTAAACGAATGGAGGGGTTAAGAGAGGTGGAAGTAAGGGGGTTAAGAGGGGGGTTCAGAGTGGTGTAAGCCAGTACAGTGGATCACAGCATCAAGGTAAGCTATCAAAAGTCATGGCAACAACAAAAAATAATAAAGTGATAAGTATATATCAACATTTTTCATAATTAAAAATATTTTCTTTAAAATAATAATAAATAAATAAATAAATTAAATAAATTCTAATAAAAGGGAGAACTTGTTATATAAATATTTAAAGTATTTAAACAATAATAAACTAAAGATCTTAATTGTTTCTTGAAGTTATCTTCTTGTGGAAGGTATTTGATAACAAATATTATCCAAAAAGAGTGAAGTTATAATAACTTGTGTAATATATTTGATATAAATAAATAACTTATTTTGAGAACCACCAAAACGAATCTATAATTTAATAAATTAAATAAGGGGATTTTCTTTTTAAATAAATTTTTAAATTTAAACAATAATAAACTAAAGAACTAAATTGTTTCTTGAAGTTATCTTCTTTTGGAAGGTGTTTGATAACAAATATCATTCACAAAGAGTGAAATTATAATAACTTTAGTAAGGTAGGTACTATAAATAAATAACCTTTAAATAAATAACTTGAGAACCACCAGAGAAATATAAAAAAACATTAAAACTGTTCTATAAGCCACATTTTATTTTAAACATCTATTAACTTGCTAATTAAAATATATAAAGAAGTAATATACTTAAAAATTCACCAAAAAGCAAATAAGTAAATAAAAAAGTCTTGTATAAGACACATTTTATATTAAATTTAAATAAAAATAATAATAATAAATTTAAAACAATAAAAATTTAAAAATTTCGTAAGACAAATATATCAACAAAACCTTTGACTTATAAAATTTGTTAATATTCTTAACCGATGATCTAACTAACTAAAAAACCCATTAGCCAAGTCATAAATAAAATGTATAACAAGTAATCTTTTTAGTATATATACTACATATATAAACCATTATGGTATATATATTTAATTTGTGGCTTTTGTGAGCGACTGACAGACGGGCAAACAACAACAAAATTAACAACAAAATCGCAGTTGCCTTCAAGAGTGTGAAATAAAAAATAAAAACAAATACAAAAACAAAAAAAAAACGTCTTAATTCGCCGTGAATGATTTACGGTTTGGTTTTGGGTTTCATTTCACGTTTTTTTGCACCGGCGACATTTGTTTCTGTGTTTTGTGTTTGCACGTAAGAACTGTGGCGTTATAAAGGCCGTATGACAGTTTATTCGCATGCAGCGAGGGTCCACTGTGCGTGGGAGTTTTTCTCTCTCTCTCTCTCTCGCTTGAGATTCGCTTAAGTGATTTTTTATGGCACGCGTTCGCATTCGCAGATATAACTTCATAAAAAGTCAATTTAAGTTTAGTAATATTTTGCTGAATTTATAGATGGCCAACAAGTATTTTGTTTAAGCATAATTTTTTATGACCTTTCAGGGAAAGAGGAGTGAGTGAGTGAGTGAGTGAGTGAGAGTGAGTCACAGTTGCACGAGTATATTACGTTATAAATTCAATAAATGTGACCATAAAAACGGCCCATTCAAATACCTTGTCCGCGTACATTAATCCCGCTGCTGTCCGGTGTCCATGGTGTAACCCCCTTTAACCCTTTCCCCCGGCCGCACACATTACAAGAACGCCGCCCCGCTTAACCCCTTGGTGCGCCAAATGATTAATGTCTGGCAGCTCGCAGCCTTGGCGAGAGAGAGTTAAAGCCAAACTCTGGAGGACCAGTCCCGGCAGCATCCCAGAATTCGAGTCGGGAGTCGGGAGTCCAGCGGCAAGAGTGTTCCCGGAATGCCCCGCAAGTAACCCGAAAAAAAAGAAACAAGACAATACGCATAAATCTATGGGTTGACACTTAGTACCCAAAGACCACAGACTTTCAAATGAATTTGTTTTGCACAGATCCACGGGCCACAACAGACTACAGGCACATCCACGTAACGTAGACTGTGTAGAGGCGTCATAAAATTGGCAACAAATTGTTTTCACGCCGTTTTAAATACACATTTTTTAGCCAATACTTGGAGACCGTTTAATGAGCGGAGCCAAAAAAAAATAAAGGAACCAAAACGGAGAAAAGACCGGAACGAGGTCGGGGAAACCGGGAATCGGGAACTGGGAACTTGACAAGTGCACAGGGGGAAATAATCAGGTATTTCAAAGTTTTGAAATCGAATTGTAAATAGAGATTGGATTGGAAATAAAGCTTCTTAGTTTGGTTATAATATTTAAGAAATTTTGTATTATACAGCAGAATTTTTTATTCGTTTGAAAATTACCTTTATTTTCTGAATTTTAATCAGTTTTTCTAAGAATAAAATGGGTCTGCTCAGCATAATCACATTTACCACTTGAATTAGACCATAATTCCCAACTTTGTAGGTCTAAGTTTAGAGTGTTCCTTAGATCAACCCTAAAGTAATCATTTTGTAGGTTTCTTTTATAACTCCGCTCTCTCAAAGTCCAAGAAAAATGAAACTATCATTTTCGGTATTGCTAGTACATTGCAGCAAAGCATGTAAGATAGAGCGAGTCAGTGATAGAGCTCTTTAATTACTAACACAAACAAAATATTAACAAATTATAAAAAAATGTTTCATAAAGAAAACTAAATATAAGTTGCTACAAATATCTCCCAATATTACTACCATTTCTCCTTCTTCATTATGATTGAATTTTTGATTGATTGATTGATTTTAGGAGATTACTACTACAAAATCCAACGAAATATTTAGAAATTATTAACTATTATGAAATCATTTTCATTTGAAATATTTAATATATATTTATAGCAAGGATCTTCCCATCTTACTACCCTTTTTCTCTCTCTGCATTTTGGTTGAACGACATTCAGCGCGTTGACGGACGCTCTCGCGTTTGCTTGCTGGATGCTGGACTCTCCGCCAATAAATTTGCGGCTAAGGAGATAAGCTTATAAATTTTAACTGTAATTATGCGACACAAGATTTATGAAGAGACAGGGGCCCTGGTAACACTGGGTTCTGACTCTGTCTCTGCCTCAGCATCGTCTACCCTTTCCATTTCGGATTATTAATGAAACACCAACTTACAACGAAATGCGCTCACACTTCTTTGGGGGAGGAGGGTAGGGGAGGGGAGAGAGAGAAGTGTTGGCCAGTATGTCTGTTTGTCGGCCAAAACTAGCTGGAGATTTACGAGCATTTTAGCCATTCGGCGGCGCTTCTAATACCCTTAGGGCTTAATGAGTTTCAGGGCGAATGCAAATCCAAAAGGGTTTACATATACTCTGAATCTGTTTCTGTATCTGTATCTTTAGGCGACTTTATTGATCCATCTGCACACACGTGTGTGTGAGTGGGTGTGGCACACACAAGGAGAGGTACCAAGACCACCCACGACGCGGCAATCGCTTGAAGAGATCTGCGTATTTGACATTGCCGATCGCCTCATTACGCCTGCGCTCAGGCAATCAAAGCCACGAAAAAAAAAAATAAATACGAGAAAAAGATACAACGAAGTATCTTTGAGATACAGCGGCGGCGTGGGAGCTGCGATAATTTCAGCACAGTCTCCTTTCCCAGTTCCCAGCTACGATTGAGCAAATGAGTCGCATCTCAGCTCGATTATTGAGCTGTTCCTATATTGTGTATAGAATAAAGGATAAGAAAGAAGATGGTCTTGAAACTAGAGATGTTTCTTTATGGCCATCATAAGATGGTTGGCTTTAAGAAGACTTTAAGCTGCCAGAGACTAAGATAGGTGGGAATAATTTCTGAGATATTAACAGGTCCTTGTTCATATTATTTTTAGATTTTAGGAAACTACAAGGAGGTATTGAAGAATATCGGAATTAAAAATGTATATAGTTGAAAATATGAAGGAATATAATAAATATATTGTATACAATATAAAGTGATTTTCCTTAATAAACTAAAAATATTCTTGATTATTATAGATATTTTTATATGGCAATTTTTTTTATAAAAACCCAAATTTTAAAAACTCATAACTAAGGCAAAAATGGTTTAATTTTAATTCGGAAAGCTGTAT